CGTATGCTAGCATTAGGACCGGACTATGTAGCAGAAATACCAAAATGAGCAGTTTAAACAGGATACTATCAAACTTCTGATATATGACAAACAAATTAGAGGTAAGCAGTCAAAGCAAAGTGCAGATTGTTATCAGAGAGCCAAAACTGTTCTGTCTTATTATTCAGTTAGGCTTTCTGTTCCCAAAGTCATCTCATGACTCAATGTGAATATTAGGTTACCAGCCATTACAACTTTCCATATTTACCATGACTGTATAATACTCTGCATGCAGGAAGACATGGCATAGGCTATTCCCTTCCCCTTAAAACAAACACAAACTAAAACAAAACTTTCCCAGAATCTAAAATTATTTTAAAACAAGTTTATTATAAATAAAAAGTAACAGTTTCCTTAAGATGTACATATAATTTTATATTTATATAGGACAAAATGATGCAACCATATCTAACCTCAAGAGAGACTGGGAACAATTTTTATTGTAACTTTTTTTTTTTACTAAAATTCAAAGAATTAATAAAGAAAAGTAATGGCTATTTGGTGAAAATCAAAAGTTGTGCTACAGCTATCTTTTCAAAGTATAATTTAGATCACATCATAGCATTTCACTAGATCTTCCAAAAAGATGTCCATTACATGTAAAATAAATCCACCAGCCATACTCTTTTGAGGTACAGTGGGATCTGGAACCTTAGCATTTCTTCTGATTGCTCTCCCATTACTTCAATGCCAAATAGTTCTTGTCTTAGGGACTAACCCATGTTATATTCTAGAATCAGTCTCTGCAGGGCTGATTCCTTCCTTCTTTCTGATTTTGTGAAGCTTCTTCAATCTGTTTTCTTTATCATCTTTCTCCACTGTCAGTATTATTTATAATATCCAGTATTTGTCATGTGTGTATGTATGCTTATTTAGTTTCTTCTTACTAAAGAGCCATGTTTGTCTGGTTCACTGACAGATCTTCACTGCTTAGACTGACCTGGCAGGTAACAGCACTCCATACAGATTAGAGGAAGGCATGAAGTGACTAAGCAGGGATCTGACTGCACACAGTACTGAGAGAGCTGTACTTACTGGCAAACTCACATCTCACTTAAAAAGTAGCACATATACAGCCTAGCTCTTTATCTGATCATAAATCAGGATCAGGGAGAATATGGAAAGAACAGACTTTTTTTTTTTATGCAGATACCAGACACTACTCTTGTTTATCAACTTGGCTCAACTTATCTTTGCTAGCAATTAAACATGTCTCTTTCCAGGTATTCCTGTGGTAAGCATCTAAACAGTAAATATAAGGTTTGTTAAATCTGACAAGAGACGACAGCATAATGGCTTTTTTTTTTTTTGACCAACTGTATTTCAAAGCACAAAAAATACCCAAACTTAAATCTCCTCTATTACTGGCGGCGGATGAAGGCGGTTGGTGAACATGACATCACTGCAGCCTGCAGATGCTGATCCCCTGGCCAGGCTCATTTCTAAGAAAGTGACTGCGGCAGAAGTGCTTGCTCCTTCCTGCACAAGGGACACATGCGGCGAGTGAGTGCTCTGAGCGCAGGTTTGTCTGCTACACCTTGATGAAAGGAGTCGACTTTCCACATCCATAGCAACTGTCGTCAAATTTTCATGTGCTCAAGTCAGACCTGAAAGAATAACTGCTATCTTCTAGTGTTGTAATTTCTAATATATTACTCTATGCATATGTGACCCAACCAACCTTAACCAGGACACAATTAAACTTTCTGATTAGCATATGGCACTATGTTATTTTGTAAGAAACACGCTAACATGTTGAAAGGTGGGTGGTTTCGGAACCACAACTACAGCAATGCTCCTCTTAAGTGCTGCTCTGGGTTTTGTTGGTAGAATGCCTCTGAAGGGCTCCTGCCATTAAGGAAAGTTCAGGAATCCTGGTTAAATCAACTCTTAAGAGCCTCCTTTTTAACTCAATTCCAGAAATTCATTTAAAACATCAGTAATTATTCTGAAGAATAAATAGAAAGATAGATTATGCTGAACAGGTAGAGCCTCTAAAATTTAAAATATTGTTTGAAAACTGGGTATGAAATTTGGAGTCTATCATTTTCCTATCGTATTCCCAAAGGACTGAAAGCAGCTTTGATTTAAACTTGCTTTGTAATGCACACACTCTCCCCTCTTAAGGAACACTGTTTTAAAATGTAAATTGGCTTCTAGTTCAACATTTATTATAATAAAGCCATTGTTTAATAAGAAATTTCAATTGATAATTAAGCAATTTATTCCAAGCTGTGTGTGCGCGCGCGCGCGCGTAGGTGGTGGTCACATTTTAAAAAGGCTGTATTAAAAAGAGGCTTTGCTGTTAAAGGGATAGTACCCCTGAACCTTTCCTGGATGAGGGTTAAGATGAAAGAACAGAAGGCAATACTCAGTTCCGACAGGCCTTTAAATGCATGTAACTAAGAGTCCTTAAGCTCCATTATGTCATAAACTTAACCTCAGATTATACAGCTTCGAATATCAATAGCTCTAACAGGATTTCAAAACCTCAACAGATTTTCATAGGATTATCATGCCTAGCTACCGTGGACAGAAGGTTGACTCAAATTCTGTAATACCCTAAGGAGTTAATAACACAAGTGAAGTATTCACTTTCACTGATATTGGGAAGGCTCAAATAGCCAAATAATTCTTTTGTCCTAACTGCTGCAAAATAGAGAAAGAATAATGGTATCTTTAAAAAGTAAAACCAGCGGCTGGCAAGATGTCTGTTTGTAAAGCTGCTGCCAAGCTTGACAATCTGAGTTCAATCCCCAAGAGCGACCTCCCACACGTTCTGACTTCCACATGCATGCTGTCATATATGCCCGCACACACTCATGTGCACACACACAAATAAATCACTGTAATTTAATACATCACTTTCTATGCATAACTTTACACTTGTTTCTGATATTTAACCGGAAACTGACCATTATATTCTAAAACAAGGATTTGATCTTGTAGCATCTCTAATTATACAAGTGTTAAATGGCTACTTCAGAGAAGGACCTCTTATTGTGGATAAAACTCACTTCTAAGACACTTAAGGGATGCTTGTTCATGCCTTGGTACCCAAGGAAATAGTAGCACTGGAAAAGAGTAGTTGTCTTAAAGCACATTTTTAGTATTATTTATGTAGGAAATACATGCATTTGATTTAAAAAGCAAATGACTCAATGTGTGCAGTAAAGCCCAAGCCCTCCCTTTTTCTTTCAGCCTCCAGATTATCTTCTCAGGTTCAAATTTTGTTAACATATTTTCTTTTAGTCTTTCCAAACCAAATTCTAATGCTTACAAGGCATAGTATAGAAGAACTAAAAATAGCCTGCACTCTCTCTAGTAAGCCCACAACAGCACAATTATCTAGAGCTGTAAAAATACTTCTGCCATGTAAAAATAGTTCAGGTTGAATAATATTTGAAAAAAAATAATAAAAGCCAGATACTACACTGTTTTCACTGGAGCTCAGCCATCAGGGAAGGAATCTTTTCCGGATAGGCGCAACAATCCGCGTTGGCCAGAGAGGGCAGTGTGTACCCACTGAAAAGAGACAGGCAGGAACGCTGCAATTCCTTGAGTACCCATGGAGATTGCCCAATCCAGTCCAGTTTTGCAGGTAAAGCTGCGTAGGAGATCCAAGTGATTTCTCGCGGAAGGACTCAAATGGACTTGTCATTACGATGCTGCAACACTAACATGCTGGGTTCACGATTAGAATGAAGAAAATTCCCCTAACGCAGCAGAAATCCAGCTGTGCATGTGGCTCGTTTATTACCAAAGAGTGAAACAAAATGTTCATTTCCAAGGCAATGACTGCATCAATCAGGAGTTACAAGTAACGACAGAATTTTGGATTTGTTTTTATGTACTAACGGAATCACTAAGAATTTATGGAATAACCGAAATATTTACTGGCTAGAAGGTTATTGGTTATCCTGGCACAATTTGAATATACAAGTATTGATGCATATAGCTTGGTAGGTAAATATTTAAATTCAATGGCTGTAACGTCAATTACGAATTTATGAATATCTGTCCAGTTATGAAGTTTGTCTAAACCGTCATTAGTTCAACAACAACGAAAAGTTCTATTGAACTTTCTAATAAAAACAAAAATTGAAAATACGGTGATAACATGGACGTGAGAAACACCAACATTTGTAATTGTGCAAATATTCAGTGCTAAAACTATACATGCCCATATTGTCACTGTCTTAACGTCTCTCTCAATATGAAGAGAGATTTTAAAATAAAGCAGTCAGACATTCCATTTGCAATTAAATCATTAAGGGAAAAGGGAGTCAGTTAGTGAATGGCGGTGCTTTTCCCGGAGATTTATAAAAGGATCAATCCAGGACGAGTTTCAGAATAAACTTTGCCTTCAATGTAAACGATCTAGAAATATTTAGCTGACATAACACCTCGGCGACGAGGCAGCCGTAAAGTGGCTTTCCGAGCTTTGTGCGGTCGGCCGGCCGCTGATGACCGGCTTCCTCCTCGCACAAGACTGGGCAGCAGGACCCTGCGATCCCTCCCGGGAAGGCGGCACGGGGTGCGGGGTGCGGGGTGCGGGTCGCGGGCAGGGCGGCCGCGCGCAGCCGGAGCCCGCAGTGGTGTCGCAGCCTCCCGGCCGCAGCAGGTGGGACCCGCGGGAGGCGCGGGCGTCGCGGGGCTTCTCGGAAGCCTCTCCTGCGCGTCCGAGTCGGGGCTTTTGGGGTCTGTGCGGAATGACTTTCTGCGGTGGCGACCGGGGACCGCCGGCCTTCGCTCTCACACTTTGCGAAGCGCGGCGTGGAATGGTCCGGGACGCGAGCGCAGTCGCCGGCGTCCCCCGGCCTCCGCTCCCCCCTAGGGCTAGCTCGCGGCGGCGGCGGGCAGGCGGCCTGGGCCAGACAAAGGGCGCGAAGGCGGCGGCGGCGGCGGCAGAGCGGAGCGCGGCCTGGCCCGCAGGGGGCGCCGTCCGCGCCCGCGCTTACCTTTGAGGACCGCGCAGAGCTGCTCCAGGGCCATGGTCCTCAGCGTCGGCGCTCCGAGAGCGCCCGGGGCGGCGGCGGCGGTCACGGCCCGGCGCGAAGCCTCCGCTCGGTCCCCATCGCCGGACGCCGCCGCCTCCCTGCAGCGGGCGCAGCGCCTCAGCCCGCCGCGCCTGCTCCCCGACGGCCGCCGCCTCCCGCCGCGCCGAGGAAAGCTGGCGGCGCCCGCTCCCGCGGCGGGCTCCCTTGAAGTGGCGCGCGCCGGGAGCCCCGGCTCATTTAAGCGGGGAGCGCCGCGCCGCGTGCCGGCCGCGCGGCCACTGCGCACGCGCGGCCCCGCCCGCCCGCGTGCCCCGCCCGCCCCTCGCCTCCCGGGCCTCGCGCGCGGCGGACCCCTCCCTGCCGGTGACTCCTCGAGGCCTCCAGCCCGGTGCTGTCTTCGCGGGCCCTCGCCGAGGACCCCCCAAGCCCAGGTGCTTGAGAACGGGCTGCTCAGCCTTGCTGATCTCGGTGGAGGGGCGACCTCGGTGGGGCTCTGGACGTGCGCTGGTGAGTTCGGGGAGCAGCAGTAACGGTTGTTGCAGTTGCTGATACTTCCACGGCAGTTCTTGAGCCCTGAGCAGGCTGCCAGGCGTCGTTCTGCTGGTGGGAGCATCGCCTCGCCACTGTGGGCTGGAACTCTACACCAGCTGGAGGAATAAACTTTTTTTTTGTACTGGCTGAAGTGAAGACGGGAGGCAAGACTGAATCCAGACGGTGGGCCACCCCAAGGACACCCCCAACCATGGCCATACAGATGTATTTCACATCTGTTCACAACTGTATAGTTTGGGCATTATCCTGTTTTCCTCTGGCGGTTGTGCTTTGAAATTGCCTTGGTCGCAGAACTCCCTTCATCCCATTGAAACAGCAACTACTTGAATGTAGGCATGCTACAGTCGTTATTTCACACCTCACGTAGTTACTGGCATGAGTTCTGTGCATGTTTAACAGTGATGCTGTTGGGAGACAACTGGTATTAAGCCCTACCGTAATAGATCGGACACATCAATGTTTGTCCAGCGAATTATAGCTAAGTTAGAATGTCCGGCAACTGAACAAAATATCCCAAGGGTGTCAAGTTCTTTCTTTTCTTGATTGTCTCCAAGAAAGGCACAAAAGTGTAAGTAATTCACAAGTTTATAAATAAAACAAATTAACATTAATTAACATAAAGTTGTTTAACCCATTTGCTGTGTGCTTCAGTGGTTCTGAAAGATGTGTGATTTGGGTTTCTAAGCTAATCACCTGCAGTTCAATTAACACTGCACCCAAGAATCAGCCAATTTCAGAACCTTTCCCACAAATAATGATAAACGTGGCCAATAAGTAATAATTCAGTCTGAGTCCTGGGCAACAGTGGCTAAAGAAATTGAGAAGCTTTTTGAGTTTCTGGATCAATAATGCATAGTTGTTGACTGAAAAAAACCAGTCACCAGAGATATGATGTCATCAGAGATGTGATGTCATCAGAGAATGACTATGGAAGAGAAAAAAGAATGGAAAGGCTTTGGATGGCGAGTGAAGGTGAGAGAGGTAGGAGAGATTGTCAAGTGTCAGGTTCTGGAGCTAAAAATTAAAGATAAGGTGGACTTGGAATATAGAGGCACCGTTGTTTCTCGGTATCCAGGAAACACTGGTTTTAGGACACCTGTCCCTTACCTCAGTCTGCACATGTCCAGTCAGTCCTTCAGAGGAAACGGTGATCATGTATGCTACGCATTCTCCTGTAGGCTTTCAATCATTTCTACATTAATTATAATACCGAGCACAGTGTAGATGATATATACATAGTAATTATTCTGTATTGGTCAGGGAAAGGTGATAGGGAAACTCTGCTCATGTCCAATACAGACACCTAGAAAGTGATGTTTGCTCCATTAGCGGCTGAACCCTCGGAGGCTAACGCCTCAGGATTTGGAGGCTTGCTTGAATGTTAAATTTAGCAGTTTGTACTTTGATTTATAGGCCAAGGGAATCATTTTCATTAGTGAAGTCATGGAGTTCTGTGAAGATTAATCTGGCGGCCAAGTTGAGGGGGTAAAGGGGATAGATTAGGGAAACCACGGTAATTAAAAAAGTAAATGCCTCCTACTCACTTAGCTTTGTGGCCTTTATTGATAGAATCTGTTGATAGAAGAAAGAAAGACTTCTCCAGTCTAACGGCTTGGGAGTAGACCTCAGTTGTGAATGCTAATTTAATGACCCCCCTTAAGGCACCTGTCTTTTAGATGCACTGTGGTAAAAACAGTGTAACAAAGCACAGATCACAGACGACTGTGTGGCCATATGTAAGCTAAGTCAAAAGGAAAAGACCACTCAGTAACACCCATTCTGTCCCTACATTACTTGCCAGATTGGGGGTGACCAAGGACCCTGTTTTTGTAGGATCATGGCCAGTCCTTTGGGCATATACAGTCTCTGCCCCTTTGCACAGGATCATTCCTGTGGTTCAGATTTGTTTTTTAAAAATATTTATTTATTTATTATGTATACAACATTCTGCCTTGATGTATGCCCACACGCCACAGATTTGGTTTTCTCTTACCAAGTAAGAGAAGCATTTCATTAGTGCTGTCTGTGCTGGGCGGTGGCACACACCTTTAATCACAGCAGAGGCAGGTAGATTTTTTTGAGTTTGAGATCAGCCTGGTCTGCATGGTGAGTTCCAGACTGGCCAAGGCTACATAGATGCTGTCTTTAAGGAAAAGAAAAAAAAGAAAAAAGAGCCATTTGTCATTGACTTATTAATGAAACGAACATTAAAAAATTAATAGACATGATCGAACATGCCTGTAATCCCAGTGCTTGGAAGACTGAGGTAGGAGGTTTGAGATGGAAGCAGCAGCATTTTATCAGAACGTTTGTATACTCAGTGGGCTTTGTTGCTTTTTGGTAGTTTGGGAACTCTAACTATAAAGGTGCTTTGCTACGCGTAGAGACAATGCTTATGTTCCCTAAACAGTGGAAGTTAAACCCCTTATGAAGTGTGCGTCGTGTTTTGAGACGGGGGGGGGGGGGGGGGGGGGGGGGGGGGGGGGGGGGGGGGGGGGGCTCGATAAATACTGAAGCTTGATTGAGGCTGTAAAGGCAGAGTTCTGAACTGTTGAATCAAGTGTTGCCATAAGGGCAAAGAAAGCTTGTTCTCATCACACCGTCACCAAGGAAAGGCCATGCGAGGACAAGATAGTCATTTGCAAGCCAGAAAGAAAATCCTCGTAAGAAGCTGAATTGGCTGGTGCCTTGATGTGGGACTCCAGCCTCCAGCTCTGTGAGAAAATAAAGGCCACTGTTTAAGCCACTGAGTCTACAACATTTTGTGGCAGCCCAAGCTGACTAATTCAGAAACACAGCTAAGGAGGACAAAGGGATTTATAACTTACCAAACTCTGATCCACAGAAAATCTATTTTATTAAAGAATAATAAAACCGCCCTACATCAGTGTGCAAGTATGGCTACAATAATGATGAAATTGAGAGAAAAACCAGAATTATACAGGATCTCAGTGAGTGAAGACTGCACACTATAGAGCTGTGGTGGGGAAGGAAAAGGAAAAGGTACCTTTTAAAAAAATGCTTTGGGTAAATTAGCATCCTGTGCCATGGGCATCTAGGAGACTGGAGGATTGGGAGAAAGGTGCCAACAAGCTTGCCTGTTGTTGCTCGCTCTTCCCCGCCTTGAAGGCCACCACATGCCCTCTACAAGTGCTTTTAACTCCACATTCCTCCTGTCTCTTCCACTTGTTATAAGGGCCCCAGTTGATTAGCAAAGAAACCAACAGTATGACCTTGTTTAATATTAATTATCTCTTTAGAGACCCTGTCTTCAGATGTAGCCACATGGGTGTTAGGGGTGCACTAATTTGTAACATGCTGATTTACAGGCTAATGTCATTCAGTTCAGATCATGATTCACGAATCCAGCTGTTAGTAACCCCAAAGAACATCAAGGGAATCAAAAATATGTCTTAAGGTAAACTATCAGCAAAACTTGTTTCCAAATTTTTGTTTAATAAAATTGCAAATTATGACAGTTTTAAGAAATATTGACTTTCTTGATAGTAATTTTTTAAATTTTACTTTATCTGGAAAACTTCAATTTATCAGGAAGATTTCTGGTCACCAATTACTTTCACTTCACTGTGAAAGACACAGACTTGTTATATTTATTAGGATAAAATTGATAACATAAATGGTATCTTCAAAGATAAATTTAAAGCTAAAATCTCATTTTGAAATGTCTGTTTACTTCTTGTTTAAATCTATTGTTAGCTGATAGAAATGCTTGTTTATCCATGTAATATGAAACTATGTTTTTTTTTGTTTTTTCCATTTTTCTTTTTTTCTCTTCTCTTTGCTTCTCCTCTCCCCTCCACTCCCTTCCCCTATCCTTCCCTCCTCTCCCTCCACTTTTTTCTTCTGTGTGCTGGGAACTGAGTCTGGGACCCTGAGAATGCCAGGCAAGGGTTCTATCTACACAGAACCACCCTCTTGGTTTTGTGACTATAGCATTAAAATGACAACAGTTTGAGACAGGGTCTTGCTATGTAGCCTTGGATGATGTATGGTGCTCACTGTGTAGCCCAGGCTAGCCTCAAACTTGCAGCCTCCCTTGTGGCTCAGTCTCCCTCCTAAGTGCTGGGATTACAGGTATGTACCACCCATCATACCTGACTTTAAGCATTTTCTCTTTTTCTCTCTTCTCCTTAGGCCTCTGCCACTTTCTGTAGTGAGGATCTAACCCGGGCGCAAATGCCTGCCAGGAAAGCTCTGTGCACTGCACTGTAGCTGAGCCTTAAAGCATAACATAAAGAAGGATACATTTACTTTCATGGAGATGAGTGTTTTGTGTGCATGTAAGTACGTGTACCACATGTGCCTGGTACCCCTGGGGGCCAGGATACCCTGGGATGAGTTATGGACAGTTGTGAGCCACCACATGGGTGTTTAGAAGCAAACCTGGGTCCTCTGAAGCAGGAAATACTCTTAGCTGCTGAGCTGTGTCTCTAGCACCAAGTGTTTATTAGGAAATAGCAATTGGTTGGAAATTCAGTTTAAAGACTTGATGAACTAGGAATATTTGTACTGGTGGAAATACATGTATTATTTAATAGTAAAACAATAACTATACACTAGTGATTTACAGAACTCATTATATATAAATATATACCCTCGACATATATATATGTGTGTGTGTGTGTGTGTGTAAGGTATATAAAGTTATAATTAACTAAAATTTTTACTTTGGTGTATAAAAT